GCCCCGCGCCGCCGCGCCGCCGCCCGCCAACGTCCCAGCGTCTCTAAGGGGCCGTGCTCCTGCTTTCTGCCGGGGTCCCGGCTCTTCAGCTGCGCGACGGAGCCGGGCAGAAATGAAATCAACTGTGACAAGGCCGTAGCTGCTTTCATGGAGGGATTTTTCCGTGCCGGAGTCTTCCTTTCTTCCTTCCTTCCTTTCTTTTTTTCCCCCCTTCCTTTTGAAATCAAATTAAAAATAGCAGACACCTCTCAGGCATTCGGCGGTGCTAGGTAGAGGTTGGAGGATGGAAGCAGCCGATCAGAAAGTGGGCGTTTTCATAAAGAATGAGGCCGGCTGCTATTTACCCGGCGGCCTAGCCGATGAAAACTTAATTGTTGTGTGCGGTTCCTAGAACCTAGGCATAAATCTCCCCGGGCCGCTCGGACAACGCCACATCGTTGTTTATGAAAACTGGGATGTGAGCTACTCGCTGCACGTTTCTCTGATTCACCAGGTCTTGGGCTGCTGACACGCATTCGATCAACTTTAAAGGAACGCGCATAAATCAGGAAGCCCCTAGCGTCTCCTCCGTAGAGGTCCGCAAATCCGGAAGGGCGCCTCTGAACCCACCCGGTCGGGGGGCTTAGCAGTGCTGGACAGCCCCCGTCTCCCCTCCGAAAACTCCGGAATCCGTAGAGAGGAAGCGAGAAGCCGCATCTTCACCAGACCCTCCAAACACACGCAGCAGGGTGTAATCTGCACGGACATTAGGCGGTGAAATCTGTGTCATTACCCGCACGCATACGTATGACCCTCCGCTGAATTACACGGACTCGTGAATTTTTCAGAAAGCACTTTCATTAGGTTGAGTTTTAAAAAAGAATAGTTTTCTTTTCCCCTTTCTTTAAAAATTATTGCTTCTCTCTCTGTGTCTCTTAACAATTTAAACGGATGGCTTCAGTTCTGCATCAGGCATAAATAGTAGTTAAATGCAAAGTGACATTTTACAATCATCCACTTAAAATACCTTAATAAATTTGACAGTATTAAGAGCATATGGAAAAAGTGGTTGTTTTTTTTTTTTTAAAGTCCCATATTTACAGTTTTTTAAAGGGCAGGCCATTACAGGATTCAAAATCTTTGCTAATAGATGAAAACAGTGTCTAGCTGTTTTCATATTTACAATTTCTTGTTCAGAAGAGGCTTCCCTTTTAGGAAAAAAGAAAACACATTTGAATCAGCTATCCATCCAGCTGTACTATCCTGGTGTCTGGTGTTATTATTGCTATATGGTGGCTGGAGTCCTTCTGGATGTCTTTTTTCTAAAGGTTTAGACTAATTGTTATTTGGGTATTAGGGGTCATAATCCATGCTTGCTTTAGGTTATCTGGTAGATCCATAAGAATTTTAAATAAGAGAGGAGCTAGGTAGGGTCGACTATCACCAACCATTTAGAACGGGGGAAAAAAAACCTGAAATAGTCATTAGTTTCAAAAATTGAAGGGGGTGGGGGGGAAAGAAAACTACTACTTTACCCAGAGTTCCTGCGATGGGTTGTGAAAGGGGCGGTATTCGGGCTTCAGAGCGGCTGTTGGCCTCCTTCCTAGGCCTGAGGCTCAGAATATTTCTTACATCTAAAGAAAAATATCCCCCGTCAACAGAAGAGTCCCCTTTGGAGCTGTTCGTAAACACACAGTATGATCCAGCTTCAAGGGGATTTTCCACCACTTTAAACATTTTGGGAAGAAAGTTGTTCCTTTGGCTTGATGGCAGCTTGTTTAGAAAGGGAGAGCTGGGGAACACGATGTGGGGCGCTTGAACTGGACCATCATTTTCATTTGTTTCCACCAGTGGAGTTAAAATCCATGTTCAGGGCAGCAAAACTGGATTGCACGTCTCAAGACCAGCCCACACGTATGCTTCAAGACCATGCTGTTTCTGAGACAGTTTTAAAGATTCTAGAATTCTCCGTCTGTAAAGAAGCTCTAAGTCCAGGTTGGAGAGGTTTCCGTCAGCCAGGTTTCTCAGCAACCAATGTTGTTTTCCATAAATCGATGAATATGGTTTTTTAATTCACAATGACTTTCCTCTAACATAAAGATAAAATTAACCTCATCTCAAAATTCTGCATCTTAAGGCTCCTGGTTCCACCAACATTTCAATATATATATATATATATATATATATATATATGCATAGCACGGATTTGACAAAAACACATTATCTTGTGTGCATATTAAATAGAAAACATACATACGTGTTATTTATGACTCTAAACACAGCACCTCATGTGTTGTTGGGGGGTCAACAAGTAGTAGATATACTTGGTATTATTGTTATTGTTTTGATGGTGATCGTCAATATTAATTGTGTCTATTTCTTCCACAAATCAAATGGCAGTTTCTGCAAACAGCAGTATAAGATTGCACACCACCCACGAGCAGTAATCGGCTCTGAGAGATCCAGGATAACTCTCCTTCTGCATCCATAATATGGTCATTTTGTAGATATGAGATCTTTCAGCTCTCCATACTGACCTCCTAAGAGGTTTCTTTGAGTTTCTGAAATGTAACTCTAGAACTCTAGAGTTAGCGAGGCATCTGAAACTTTTTATTTGCCATATAGACTCCCCTATAGCTCTAATTAGGTTGGTAGACCACCTTGGAGGGTGAGGGCCAGGAAAGAATGGTTATTTAAGAACACCTCTTAGACTGTAACAAAAACGTACAGCTTTGAAGCAGATCTGCAGAAATCTGAGGCAGAGCGGGCACTGGGAAGACAAATCAAACTTGGCCATTAAAGAAAAGGAGCAAAACTTCATCATGTAAAGTACATTTTGTACCTCAACTCTAGAAATCACCTTAAGTTACAACATCTTGGGTCATCAGTAATTAGTGATATTGGATCTGTACAGACTCTACAAATATATATATATATATATATATACACAAGCACACACAAGCACTGATATGCAAATGTATACATGTCTACACACAAATAATATATATTCACATATATACAGGCACATGTATAACTTACATATATTCAAATTTGTTCCATCTGGAGCCAAAGAAATGAGTACTAAATCTCTAAAACAAGGAGTCAAGGAGGTAAGACCTTTTGATTCCCTTGAAGCTGAAGAATTACAAGGAAGCTTGTCAACGCGAGGTGGCGCCCTTGATCTACTAATCCAGCCGAGGCCAATTCATGAGCTGTCAAAAGTCAAGGTCACAAATTGTCTTTTTTCGTCAAGGTCAAGGTTTAAGGCCTTTCCTAGTCCTGTCATTTCAACAAATATCAAAACCTGCCCTTTCAGACACATGCAGACCCAACAGTGTATTTGAAAATACGATATAGCCTGGGCATCACTGATACTAAACAACTGGTTTTCATTTTCCACAGTGAGCCTGGGAATTTATACTATCTCTTCCTCCTTCCTTTTCTCTCCTTCTCAGAATGTCTAATGCTTTAACTTTCTTGAAGCACTTATCTAAATTTTCAGGATTTTAGTTATCAGGGAGTTCTCCTTTTGCTTAAAAAATTTGTAGTGAAAAAAAAAAAAAGACTGAATTAATAATAGAAAAGAATGGTCCTTGGTTTGTATAGGACAAACCCGCTCCATTTTTTCTTTCTGTGAAGTGCACATTTAGTATAGGAAAATAACGAGTATTTCCTTTAGATTTTAATGGCAGTGACTATTTTATTACCATAATTAATACCACTATATCATTATCTACAGGTCTAAGGTTTTTTAATTCTTATTTTTAGTAGAAATGTTTGAAAAGCAGGTGCACAAATACATTTTCACAGTGTGCTGAATGTCTTTATTTACAAGATAGCATTTTATAGTGAATGTGAACAAAATGAATGTGCTGGTCGAAATAACTGCTTGATTAAAAATGTGCTGTAAAGATGAATCCTTAAACTTCCTAATGCAGTCTTATAACACAATAAACAAGGAAAAAATACGAATCCCTTAATAGATCAAAGTATAGAATTGTAAACATCTAAATGTTTCAGGGGAATGGATTTCCGTTCTGAGTTTTCTAAAAAAATAAAAAAGCAAAATTATTCTCCAGCAAATGTTTAGTAAATTCTGGGGGAAATACCAGTTTAAATGAAACATGAACTCTGTTCAATGCAAAGTCCACCATGTCCCGATGGACCTCTCAGGATAGCTGATAAAGTGAATTCTATGAAACATCTGATGCTTGAAATATTTTTTTTTGAAAAGTTATCAAATCCTTTGGAAAGTAAATGGTATCAGGTAGAGCATATAATCCAAATGCCACAAAATATGCTTGTTATGAGCAATTTAAAATTATTGTCAGAAAGACGTTCCCAACCTGGGGTTCCCTTGTAGCCTCAAAGGCTCAGCTGGTTGTATTTACTACCAAGACAAATGATCCTCAGAAAAGCTCTCTCTCCCTTTCTTCCTTCATTGTAAATAGCCCAAGATCATTATTTCAGTACCTTCTCCTCTCTCCCCTTCTCAATCTATACATGTTTTGCAGAATATACAACAATGGTAGGCATTTCACTGAGATTTACCTGAGCAGTCACTTAACATGCAAAGGAGATGTCAATGGCGACCCACAGACAAGCAGATGTCTACAACAGCCTCTTACTTTTGTAACCAAGTTTTGGATTATTACCATATAACACAGTATCCTGAAATAGTATGGTCACATAAATACTTACAAGATTTCAGTAAATGCGTAACTTATCTGAAATTGCATATTTGGGGGTTGACGTTCAACTCTAGAGTTTGTCATTTAACGGTCTGGTGGGGTTGGCGGGACAACTGGAAGTCTTTACCTTTTCTTAAAGTTTTAAAAGAGTTGTAGATTCCACCAAGGAGAAAGAGATCTCCCTTAGGAAAGCAAAATGCCAGTGTCTTTCTCTTTCTCTTTCCCATTCTTCAGTTATTATTATTTAAGCATTATGTTCATTCTATCTGGGCAAAGCAACGAGTTCTGAAGCATTTCTTCAAGTTGCTCTCTCGCTCCACTTTTAATCCATTAACTAGTGGTCTTCAGTTTGTTGATGACTTTTTTCTCTTTGACCCTCCTGTTCTGGAACCAGATTGTAACCTGCCGCTCGGAGAGATTTGTCGTGGCTGATATCCTCCTCCGTTTGTCCTTGGTAATGAATTTGTTTGTAGCATATTCCCGTTCGAGTTCTTTTAATTGCACCTTGGTGTAAGGGACCCGCTTCTTTCTCCCTCGCCTGTAGGAGCTGGCGTCTGAGGGATGAGAAACCACGTCTGGAAGATAGGGAAGAAGGCAAGTTACACAGGGAGCAGACCCAGACCAGGACAGGCGACAGCTCGATCTGAGCCACCCGCCTTGCATCGCCCAGCTGCCTTTTGCCATGCGTGGGTACAATCCAGCCTTCCGCTAAGACCTGAAGGGTCGGTGGGGTGGGGGGTGGGGGGTGGTTAGCCCTGCACTGAAATGAAATAGCCTATGGCTCCATTGGCCACCCAGCCGAGCCATCCAGTCCACACAGGGCGCTGGGTTCGCTTGACCGCCTGGCCCAGCGGCCCACACCTTAGCCCCAGACGCAGGGGATAACACTTCTATGCCTGGCTCCTCTCGGTACACCCCAATCCCAAACACTTGATGCTTCTACACTGAAGCCCTTTTTTGGGAGAACGAATAGGGGCAATTTTGTAAACCGTTTCCAGGTCAACTTTCCATCCTTAAGTCGATGTCAAGGGCTAAGGAGGGCGGGGCACAGAGGGAGAAGGGAGCCAGCCAGGGTCCGCACAAGCTTCTTCCCAGCCATCCCTCCTCACCCAGAGAGAGCCAGGAGTGGGCCCAACTCAAGGGCAGCGCGGGCCGCGCCAGCTAGCCGGGGTCGGGCTCCCAGGGGTGCAGGCCAGGGAGAGAGCAGAGGGGCAGGAGGGTGACCCGGGAGCGAGCGGCAGAGAAGCTGGAGCAGAGCCGGAGGACCGGGGTTGAGAAGGGGGCGCCATTTACCGGGCAGAGTGGACTTCCAGAGGTGGGGAGGCTGCGCCTGCTCTTTGGGGCAGTACATTTGGCCGTTCCAGCCGTTGGGCAGCGCCCAGGGCTGGTAGCTTTCCATGGGGAGACCCAGGGGCTCGTGGCGCGACTCGCCGGGGCCCCCGAGGCCGGGCACCACCGGCATATCCAGGTAGCCAGGCACGGGCTGATGGTGGTGGTAAGGCCCGGGCGCGTAGCCCTGGTGGTAGAAGGCGAACTCCTTGGCGCGGGAGCTGAACTCCTCGGCCGCCGGGCCGGCCGTATCCATGTACTTGTCCGCGAAGGCGGCGGCAGCCGCGGCGGCCGAGGCTGGCTGCGCGCACGACTTGATGGCGTTGGGGTGCGGGCCCATGCGGGCACACGGGTAGTAGCCGCTGCCGAAATAGCCGTAGGGCAGCGCCGCGGGCCCCGACGAGCTCTGCGCCGCCGCCGAGCAGGATTGCACCGTTTGGCGGCTGGAGTGCCCGCCGAACTGGCCGGTCAGTCTCCAGAGGACGATCGCAGCCGCGGCGGCGGCGGCGGCGGCGGCGGCGGCGGTAGCGGCGGTCGATCGGGGCGCCTCCCGCCAAGCGGCGGCGCTGGCGCCAGGGCGAGATGCGTTCTCGGTTGCGGAACACTGGTTGGCTGTCGCAAGGCCGCCCGGCGAGCGCTGCACCGCCGCCGCCACCGAGAGAACGTGAGTGCCCCCCACCGGCGCGCACGGCGTGAGTGAAGCCCGCCCCCCCGACCGCCGCCGCCGCTGCGCCGCCGCCGCCGCCGCCGCCGCCCCTTCCATGTTCTTGTTGAGTTCGTGGCCACTCCAACCGCCGTTGCGTCGTGAGAACATGACGGTGGGCCTCGATCCAGCGCGGTGGAGGAGACACGAGGCTGTCATAGCCGAACCGCATGGAGAGAAGATCCCAGTGGCGCCTGTTTTAAAGCCCCCAAAAAGAGTGAAGAACCAGCGGGGCGCGGGGTCAGCCCGGGCTCGAGGGGGGCGATACCGTCGCGCGGGTCAGTCGCAGCCAGACCGCCATTGGTCCCCCCCCCTGCCCCCACAGCAGCAGACGAGGCGGTCTAACCGGCTGTCTGTGATCTCGCGGTCCCTCGTCGCCGCTCCGCCGTGCCCGGCGCCAGAGTTCCGGCCGTCCGCGGCCACGCACCATTCCGCAGAAGAGGAGGGCGGGACCGGGGTGTGGGGCGAGTGACCGGGCGGGTGGGCTAGGGAAGGAAGGGCGGCCTCCTCCAGCTCTCCTTCTCTTCCCCTAACCCAGTGGGGCCCAGAGTAGCGTAAAGCGGGGAGGGGACAGAGGCGCGCCGTTGGGTTGGGACCTGAGGCGGTGGGAATAGATCAGGTAAATCTGCGGAAGGTCGGGGACGGGATAGTAGCGAAAACGGGGCGTAGTCCGGGCTGGGTGTTTCCTGGGGCCTCCGACGCCGCTTTCTTTCCAGGTATCCGCGAGTCTTCCTGCCGTGGGACCGCAGCGTGGACACTAGCGTTTTCGGCTTCGGCAGCGTCACGATTTGGCTCTTTCCAGAGGAACAGTGGCGGGGGCATTTGCGGATGCGCCTGGCTCACGGGCCCCCAGGACGTTCCACTGTGGAAAGTTCGGACTGTGTTTAGGGGATCCCTCCCCTTGGCTGTCCACAGTGTTGGTGGGCAATTTCATACACTCGCACTTAGGCCCATAGGGTCAGAACGACCCCCTCACACCCACACTGACACACGCACACACACTCAAGTGTACCCTGTCCACATCCTCACATTTAGGTATAGAGACCGCTCCTCAGTCTGCCCCAGTGACAGCTCTCCCTCCTCCAGAGACTTTGGAGCAATCTGTGTGCACTATTCTCTGGTGCTCCCACCTCTCCGGCCAGGCTGGCCTGTCTTGGGAATTTAAAAGGAACAGCCCCAAGTGCTGGCTGGGAGCTCCCTTTCTGGCGCCTAAGGAGGCTTCAGACTTCGTAGCTCTTGGACAGGAGCTCATTCTTCAGGCACCTGGGCACTCCTCGTTTCACTCCATTTTTCGACAGGAGAAAGAAAGGGACTCTGTAGGGCCACTTCAAGTAGAATTGGGGAGAGCGTTGTCGCCAGCCTGCAGAGGGTGCCCAGTCCTCCTCTGTCCAAGAACCAGCCCGAGAAACCTTCCCTCTGTGTCGGAAATGCAGACCCTTTCCTGAGAGCAAGGTGGGGTGTCGGTGCTGGAAGAGCCAAGCAGCCCCCATTTTTTTTTTTGGTGAGGGATCCTGGAGGTCCTGTTGCTTTTGGGTTACATACTTCCGTTTCCAATTGTGGAGGCTGTGAGCGCGTCAGATGCCCAGGAGGGGAATATGCGTTCAAAATGAAAGTGGGTGTATTCTATGGGAACATCAGGTTTGGAGAGAGCGTTGGACTCCCTTTGACACCAGGTGGATTGGTGAGCATCCAAGCGTGGACCTGTCCTCCGGTCCTAGCTTGCAGACTCAGCCAGCAGCTCAGGGCACTGCAAATATCCCCAGTCCCTGTTCCCTGCTCTGATCTGCTCTTTAAAGCTCCTGGTCTTCCTGCAGAGTCCGGACCAATGACCCTGGGCTCTGACTTTTATCTGCCTTGATCCCCAGGTTTGCTCAGACCAATGTAAGTGTTGTTCAATAACACCTTCTATGACACCCTCCTCCCAACATAGACATACCCAGTGTGCCCTTTCCCTCCTGCCTTTTTAGTAGCTCCGGGTAAATATTGATTTGCCTCCAGTTTACCTCCTCCCTGAATGGCCGTTTGCAGACTGAGGAACTAGCCTCTGGAGCGACTCGATTTTTGTGTTACTTTCCGGCCCGTTCGCCCCCCTTTCTTCCTCCAAGTGGCATTGTAAAACTCACAGTGACAAAGAAACAGGGTAGGGTTCGAGGCCCCAGTTCCTGAGGAGTTGAGGGCTGTTTTACATACAGGTCAGACACGGCTAGAGGCCAAGGTCAAGTTGAAAGTTGCAGTCTAGCCAGCGTGAGAACTGCCATGCAAGCCTGGAGACCCAGGCAGCTGCCGATAAGCCCACTGCTCACCTCCCTTGTCTCTCTCTTGACTCTTTTTTTCCTTCGGAATGATTCTTTCTCGCTCTGTTTGGTTCCTCGGCATTTTTTTTTCTTTTTTCTTTTTTCTTTCTTTTTTTTTTTTTTTTTTTTTGCTGCCTTCGTGGAGATTTTGGGGCGGTGTTTACAGACTCTTCTTCTCTGCCTCCACCCTGCTCTCTTGGCCCGGGCTTCCAGCCTCTTCTGTTTTCCAGCCAGACCCAGAAAAACGAAAACACAGCTCGGGGAGCCCCCACCAGCCGGGGCCTGTGCCAGCTCACCTCTGGCCATGGCGCAGCTGCTGGTGCACACAGCGGCCAAGGCCGGCTCCACATTCCTCCCTCCCTCTCCCCACTTCACCGGAGAACGAGCCCTGCATGCAGAGGAAGGGCCCCAGCTCCACGGACTGCCAAGGCCGACTGGGTCCCTCCTCACCAAAAATGGTGAGACAAGATTTCATCTTGTCTGCAGAGAAGCCACAAGCAGGTTTGTCTGGGAGGGAAGGCGCTGGGGGAAGACCTTGGGTTGCATCTCGGATTAGGTTTTGCTTCCTAAACTTGGCGGCTCCTCCAAGGAAGGGCTTCAAGCCTGAATTATTTATTGAGCTTTGTGGTGGATCTTTAGTGATCAAGTAATCTGGATATTTTCTGAGTTCCCCATATCTTTCTATCAACTTTTAAATACTCTCAAGACATCATTACTTAGAAAGAGGCAGGCTGCTTGTCCCCCCCCCCTTTTTTTTTGTCTTGGATCTCGATATATATGAAATGATTTTTTTTTTTTTAACCAGGCAAGTCAGTGGCGTCCTGGTGTGCCTTCACTGTTTTTTATTTTTTTTTAAGTCTGCAGGTCCTATTAGATATTGAATTGCAACCTCCAACCAGTGAGGATAGTTTCTAGAATTTGAATGAGCTCTGTGAATAATTTTGGGTCTCAGTTTCTAGAATTTCGACTCAACTTTGAAGCAGGAAAGTCTCTCCACCTTCTTTTTTTTTTTTTCCCCAAGACATAAGAGATTCTTTAATGGTTCCTAATACTATTTCTTAGCCTCTTACCCCTCCAGGCAGCTACCAAACTGACTTTTTGTGGGAAAAGAAAGGAGAACAGCGAAGAACTGGAGTATGCCTTAGGAAGCAAGCAAAGGCTCTCCCAGTGCTCTTCCTCTTTCCCTAAGGGCAAGATCAAGATTCACTTGCCTGCCCAGCTAGTTGCATCTGACCCTGAGCCATTGCTTTGCTTTTTGTCTACTAGGCTCAGGAATTCCTATGGGATTGCAGGGAGGCACCATCAGCATGAATCCTGGAGATGACAGTTTTACCCTCAGACCCTTTGTGGGCTAGGCTGGGGAAGTCAGAGGACCCAAAGGGATCTGCAGGCAGCGGTGGCCTTTTAGCAAGAGGGCAGCAGGGGCCGAGGTGGGCTCTGTCTGGTTCTCCTTGATTTCCCCCTGGAGGAGCCCTGAGTGGGCAGCATGGGCAAGATTAGAAGGCGGCAGCTTAGTGGCTTGGCCTTTGTTCCAGAGGCTGCCAGACCCTTTCTCTTGCCAGATTCTTGGCAGGCATGGCTTCTTACCTCCTAGTGCAGGCCAAGGTGCCCTGCGGGGCTTTGGCTGCCCTGGAACCTCCTGCTGAAGAAAGAGACCTGGCTGGGTTTTTTTTTTTTTGGGGGGGGGGGGGCAGGCGGGGTATTTGTTGCCAGCCTGGGCCACGGGGCCCTGGGATTTCAGGGTTGGAAGAAAAAAGGACAAAAGGAAACCAGGTTCTAATCGGGTTTGATTTTCACTAGCAAATGAAATTTACCTGCTCTCACTTTAACTTGAGGAGGCTGTCAGCACTGCTCCTTGGCACTGTTTCTCTGCATCTATCCAGCATTAGGATAAACATTCCTCAGTTGGTTTAAAGACACTTTGTATTTCAGGATATTCATGTGTTTCTAATGTATCCAAGCAGCTTTACGAGCTGCGTTTGCAGAACATCTTAACCCTCTCTCTCCCACCGCAGGAGGGGTAGGGGGGCACAGAGATAATGGCAAAGGAAGAAAGATCCAGAGGCCGGGGTCGGAGGTGGGGGATGGCTGAGGAGCTGAGGCTAGCTAAGAGAGAAGGAGAAAGAAAAGGAAAAACACCCAGATAACATCTCAGAGTCTGCACTCAACCAGACCATTTAGGAAGAGAGAAGTGAGGCACTGGTCTATTCACCGCGGGCTTCGAGGCTTCCCTACCCTCATCCCAACCAGGGCAGAAGCTTCTGAAGAAACTTGGGCCGAAGCTGGCCAATAGGCAAAGAAATAGCGCATCCTGAGTCACTTTTGGTCCAGCTCTCACTCTAGATTTTTGTGCATTTTGAAGCGTTAATGAGGCAGCAAAAGACCCTACAGCAAAAGGCTGTAGGGATAGTTCTGGACTGTGGGAAGCCACTTGGCACTGTGCTGACCAAATGCTAACACGGTGAAAATGGGAGGAAGAGCAAGTTCCAGAAAAACCTACGTAGACCCCACCTTGCCTTTAAGATCTCACTCCACGGAACTTCGAGGAAGGCGAGGTTTTGGAGGAGCGACTCTCCCGCTGTCTGGTGGGTTCCTTCCAGTACCAGGCCTTCAAGGTCACCGGTGCACAGCGCCTGGGAAGAGCGGACGCCCAGGGAGCATCCCAGTTCCAGCGCTGCCCTGTAGTGTTTTCCCCAGAAAGTCCCTGAGCGGGGACGGCCTCCCTCCCCCTTCAGAACCACCAGCCCCAGGTCCCAGGCTCCCCGAAAGAGCAATTTCTTCCGCACAGTGCCTGTCACGGGAGCCCAGACTCCCCAGGTTGGCGCAAACTTGGAGTGAAGGGCGCGGTGCCGCCCTGGCCCTGTG